GTAGTCCTAGTACTGTTGGATTTGATTGTTTTTTTAGGTGTTTTCCCACAGTTTTTAAAAATTCAAAAATTTGTATCTCATTAACCGTTCCCAAATTTTTCGTCAAGCCGTCAAATTTGCTTTTTGTGTCTTAGAAAAATCAGTTGTACAACATATTAATGTTTCCCCTCCGGAGCCTGACTTTAAGATGGTCCCGTATATCAGCTTAGCTTACCGCCTAAGATAAACTGGAAAGATCACTTTTTATAAATATTCTTACAGAATACAATTTGATTTTAAAGAGAGCCTATCAAAAAAAGTTTATATCCATAGAGGGCAGCAAATAGATTTATGTTTATATCAGGTCTAATACCGGTCGCGTTACCGTGTTTTCTCCAAACGCCAATTAACCCCCATTCCCTTAGCCTTAACTCGATTTAGATTCTGTTTTCAGACATAAAAACGGTCGACATAATATTTCCCGTTGCTAGTACTGACACTTGCGAAATATAATATTTAATTGGAATTATTTTAAATTTGTTTAAAAAAATTATTCTGACCGAAATTTTGACAATTAAACAAACACAGGCCTAACTATCCGATCGAGTACAGTGGGGTCCGACTAATTACCAAAATGATAGGGAATTACCCGAACGATACGGAATTACCCAAATGTCTATAATAAACGTTGAAACCTTTCGTATTTTTAACATACAGTATTTATTTGTCAAAATTATTCGTAATTATGGCTTGTATAACTTGTTTAATCATTTGGAAATAATAATTATAATAGTTTTCATCAATGTATTAATATGAATTATTCTGTTAACTTCTAATGATTTTTTTTATTAATGTAATAATAATCGTTTTATCTGTTTCTAACGTTATTTGAATATTTTCGGACATAACCCTGTCTCTTATACACATCTAGATGTGTATAAGAGACAGGTGTAGTGTGGTTATATTTCACACGGAAAGCTATAGTATAACCATTAGACATATAGGTCTAATATAACAAGAAACAGTAAGTTTACAATTAGTTTTGAATAATACACAAAATGGGGAAAATACAACTTTAATAAGCCTGCAACACACGGGTAAGAAGATATAGTAGCAAATGAATAGGGCAGCATGAATAACACAGGCCTATATGGACCACTAACAACGTTAGTGTAGGTCTACCATTTCCTTCATTTCTACAACAGACAGATCGAAAACGGGCAACCATTAACGTGGAAATGGTTAACCAGTTTGTTCAAAAGAAGATGAAGAAAAAAGAAATATAGTTGAACATTTGTAAAGTGCCATTCAATATTAAATTTGTAAAATGCCGTTCAAAATGCCATTCATTATTATTATTACGTAATATTACATTTAACTAAATTATTAGCTTTCATATATTATAGAACTAGTAATCAATATATAGAAAAGGTCTCAGGCTCTCTTTCGGTGTGAACTCTCATGGTATCCCTCGGCTTAAAAGCTTTGTCGACGTGTTCTAACTTCAGCTTTCAACATATATATTCACTTCTGTTACCAATCTACTTCACTGCCACTAGCCTCGCAATAATAACATGTATGTAGTCCTAGTACTGTTGGATTTGATTGTTTTTTTAGGTGTTTTCCCACAGTTTTTAAAAATTCAAAAATTTGTATCTCATTAACCGTTCCCAAATTTTTCGTCAAGCCGTCAAATTTGCTTTTTGTGTCTTAGAAAAATCAGTTGTACAACATATTAATGTTTCCCCTCCGGAGCCTGACTTTAAGATGGTCCCGTATATCAGCTTAGCTTACCGCCTAAGATAAACTGGAAAGATCACTTTTTATAAATATTCTTACAGAATACAATTTGATTTTAAAGAGAGCCTATCAAAAAAAGTTTATATCCATAGAGGGCAGCAAATAGATTTATGTTTATATCAGGTCTAATACCGGTCGCGTTACCGTGTTTTCTCCAAACGCCAATTAACCCCCATTCCCTTAGCCTTAACTCGATTTAGATTCTGTTTTCAGACATAAAAACGGTCGACATAATATTTCCCGTTGCTAGTACTGACACTTGCGAAATATAATATTTAATTGGAATTATTTTAAATTTGTTTAAAAAAATTATTCTGACCGAAATTTTGACAATTAAACAAACACAGGCCTAACTATCCGATCGAGTACAGTGGGGTCCGACTAATTACCAAAATGATAGGGAATTACCCGAACGATACGGAATTACCCAAATGTCTATAATAAACGTTGAAACCTTTCGTATTTTTAACATACAGTATTTATTTGTCAAAATTATTCGTAATTATGGCTTGTATAACTTGTTTAATCATTTGGAAATAATAATTATAATAGTTTTCATCAATGTATTAATATGAATTATTCTGTTAACTTCTAATGATTTTTTTTATTAATGTAATAATAATCGTTTTATCTGTTTCTAACGTTATTTGAATATTTTCGGACATAACCCTGTCTCTTATACACATCTAGATGTGTATAAGAGACAGGTGTAGTGTGGTTATATTTCACACGGAAAGCTATAGTATAACCATTAGACATATAGGTCTAATATAACAAGAAACAGTAAGTTTACAATTAGTTTTGAATAATACACAAAATGGGGAAAATACAACTTTAATAAGCCTGCAACACACGGGTAAGAAGATATAGTAGCAAATGAATAGGGCAGCATGAATAACACAGGCCTATATGGACCACTAACAACGTTAGTGTAGGTCTACCATTTCCTTCATTTCTACAACAGACAGATCGAAAACGGGCAACCATTAACGTGGAAATGGTTAACCAGTTTGTTCAAAAGAAGATGAAGAAAAAAGAAATATAGTTGAACATTTGTAAAGTGCCATTCAATATTAAATTTGTAAAATGCCGTTCAAAATGCCATTCATTATTATTATTACGTAATATTACATTTAACTAAATTATTAGCTTTCATATATTATAGAACTAGTAATCAATATATAGAAAAGGTCTCAGGCTCTCTTTCGGTGTGAACTCTCATGGTATCCCTCGGCTTAAAAGCTTTGTCGACGTGTTCTAACTTCAGCTTTCAACATATATATTCACTTCTGTTACCAATCTACTTCACTGCCACTAGCCTCGCAATAATAACATGTATGTAGTCCTAGTACTGTTGGATTTGATTGTTTTTTTAGGTGTTTTCCCACAGTTTTTAAAAATTCAAAAATTTGTATCTCATTAACCGTTCCCAAATTTTTCGTCAAGCCGTCAAATTTGCTTTTTGTGTCTTAGAAAAATCAGTTGTACAACATATTAATGTTTCCCCTCCGGAGCCTGACTTTAAGATGGTCCCGTATATCAGCTTAGCTTACCGCCTAAGATAAACTGGAAAGATCACTTTTTATAAATATTCTTACAGAATACAATTTGATTTTAAAGAGAGCCTATCAAAAAAAGTTTATATCCATAGAGGGCAGCAAATAGATTTATGTTTATATCAGGTCTAATACCGGTCGCGTTACCGTGTTTTCTCCAAACGCCAATTAACCCCCATTCCCTTAGCCTTAACTCGATTTAGATTCTGTTTTCAGACATAAAAACGGTCGACATAATATTTCCCGTTGCTAGTACTGACACTTGCGAAATATAATATTTAATTGGAATTATTTTAAATTTGTTTAAAAAAATTATTCTGACCGAAATTTTGACAATTAAACAAACACAGGCCTAACTATCCGATCGAGTACAGTGGGGTCCGACTAATTACCAAAATGATAGGGAATTACCCGAACGATACGGAATTACCCAAATGTCTATAATAAACGTTGAAACCTTTCGTATTTTTAACATACAGTATTTATTTGTCAAAATTATTCGTAATTATGGCTTGTATAACTTGTTTAATCATTTGGAAATAATAATTATAATAGTTTTCATCAATGTATTAATATGAATTATTCTGTTAACTTCTAATGATTTTTTTTATTAATGTAATAATAATCGTTTTATCTGTTTCTAACGTTATTTGAATATTTTCGGACATAACCCTGTCTCTTATACACATCTAGATGTGTATAAGAGACAGGTGTAGTGTGGTTATATTTCACACGGAAAGCTATAGTATAACCATTAGACATATAGGTCTAATATAACAAGAAACAGTAAGTTTACAATTAGTTTTGAATAATACACAAAATGGGGAAAATACAACTTTAATAAGCCTGCAACACACGGGTAAGAAGATATAGTAGCAAATGAATAGGGCAGCATGAATAACACAGGCCTATATGGACATGTATACATACATACATCCAAGTTTTTATGTCAACCTCCTAAATATGCCTCTCAATAAAATACTGATACAAAGTGAAGCGGGCTCGTGTTTAATTATTAGGTGATCGTATGGGACTGCTTTTTAAACCTTTAATGATAATGTGCAGTATTAACTTTTGACTATCAAATAACAATACAGACTTTGAAGGTGAAGTGTTGCATCAGCAGGTACCATAGCAACCTTTTCGATTGATTTTTATTTGGCAAAATAATCAGCTAGCTCTTGCTTTAGTAGATAAATTCAATGGCGTAATTTGTAATAAAATATATGACATTTCTGTTTGCTATTCAGGAGATATATTGTATTATTTTTATTCAATTTGTCTCTTATTTGCGTGATTGAAACGAATTGTATAATTAATAGCTCGAGTAATAGGTCATGTGATGGTAATAAAAATAATATAGCTAAAATATCTTTCATTGAACGGTGTAATATAGCTAGGAAAGATACAGTAGATATGAAAATTAATTTCTGTGTCTTTTTAAATTATTCATGTTTTAATTTTGTGCTTAAAAGGTGTTTTGCTTTTTATTGTTTAGTTAATTTGTTGGTAATTTAAATAGTATGTCATTATAATGCTAAATATTTTTTAAGTGTTTACAGGAATTAAAATTTGATCAATCTTTTTGATATGATATTGAAAATTATTAGTGGGTGTTAAGAAAATATATACTGTCATGACCATAGTATTATCATTATAATCACTATGGTAATAGTAGCATGCTACCATGGTGACAGCCATATAAGACATGATGGTACTATGGTAACTGGCGGCCTGAACATCATACCACAGCTGCTGCACCCTCAGAACAGTACCGACATGGTAACATTTTCATGGTAATATAGCACCATGGTAACAATATTATAGTAATATCACCATAGTAACAGAATTGTATTATAATAATAACATGGTTGATGATGTAGATGATAACAAAGTTGACATCCTTATGTATTTGTGATGATTATTTTTATTTTATACCAATCAAAATACTGTAATTAATATTCATTATTTCATTATGCACAATCTCGTTTTTGTTTTTTCAGGAATTGCTGTGGCTTTTATATGACTTGAAACACCTTGAAAAGTAAGTATAGCTAACTGAAACTAATCAATAATAATATTACTGTAAAAATAATACTGATTAAAGGTAATAAAAATACTAGTTACTTGGTAACTCTTAATAATACTGTAATGATTATAAAGTGGGAAGAAATTAAATATATAAATATTTGAAGTGTAATGTAATTATAAGTCGTGGAGGAAAATGACTATATAAAATGAAGTGAAGGACGAGTAGGTAACTGTAAAACTGTAAACTTTAATATTGAAACTCAAGATGACTGACTGAACCATGTGCACATGCCATGCAACTTCTGGTTATTTTAACCTATGACTTAGCTTGCACTGTGGGTGCTATATAAATTATTGTAGCCATGCTAAAGATTATATCATTACATGTAGCACCATATTAACATTTAAAATACTAAATATATAATTACATAAACAAGGGCGTACCTTGGGGGGGGTCAATGGGTGCGTTCGACCCCCCCCCCTTTTAAAAAAGTGCCCTTTAAATATGATTTTTAAAAAAAATCTAGCATAATTAAACTGCGCCTAGCCCTGCTCGCTTCACTCACAAATAACGCACCCCGCGAATTCTGAAAGCTTCGCTAAATTGCTCCGAGTTCAGCTTGCCCCCTGCGCTGTTGTTTCGCCCCCTGCATAAATTCACAAATAGTTATGTCTGTTTCCACTCTAATAATTTTGACAAGTTGTAATCAGAGTCATTTTAGGTATTTATGGAGCAAATTGCACAGAGCTCTTGTTTATTTTCTCGCAATACACTTCTGCGTTAATTTACATGTATTGCTGCTAAATTAGTTTAGATGCTCGTCACTTTCAATAAGAAACAAACAACAGAAGTAGAATAATGGGAATTGATTTCTGCCATATTATATTAATACCTTAGTATATGAAAACCATATCATAAATGTATTCATATTTTTGAGTATCTTCAGATTAATCTTCTAAATTTACAGTTAGGCCAAGTAAAAAAAAAAACATGTTTCACGTCCGGCTTTTTTTTTTAATTGAGCGGCCTTTTTTATTTTTTATTTTTTATTTTTCAAAATGGCCGCCATTCTACAGACTTGTTGACATTTCCCGTCTAGTTTTGTTCAACATATAAAATTTAGGAATCATTGTTACTGTATACAATCGGAATACGTCTCAGACGTCTTCACATGAAACTATTCCATACAATCTGACATAGAGGGCCAGTATAACGGGAAATTCCAGAATTCATCGGAAATCATCGGCCGTATTCGATTGGGACTTTCGTGCTCTGCTCAACGAAGTTAACGCTCGGAATTTATCGTTGCGTTTTGTACTCAACGGGATAACATACTCAACGTATAGTCCCAATCGAATACGGCAATTGTATGCATGACAAACGCGCTCTAGTGAAGTGAACTCGAGGTTTGCCTCCTGACGCCCAGAGTAGGCGACGGCCTAGGCCTAGCCTAGAGATATCGGCCTAGCCTAGGTAGAGATATTGGGCTAGCCTAGGCATAGCTTTACTATACGAAAGGTTAGACGAAGATATTGCACTATTTTAGGCCTGTCTCTTATACACATCTAGATGTGTATAAGAGACAGTCCTTATAGATATCCAATTTCATACATATATCAGCCTTGCTTCAATAAATCCTATAGTAGCAAAAAGCACTTAGCAGTATTAATTCAAAGGCTGTCTCTTATACACATCTTATAATAAAGTATGAAATTGTGTTACTAACTTTTAAAGCACTGCGACTCCAACAGCCCACTTACCTACTCGAACCCCTTCCTAAATAAGCCTATTTCTCCTTATCCTCCCTTCGTTCTTCTGACCTTAATTTGCTCATTGTTCACAGTAAACACCAAATCCTACGGCCACACTTTGAAACTCGCTCCCAAAACATATTTCTGACTCAACTTCAGTTGCTATTTTTAAGACCAAACTCAAAACCCACCTTTTTAACATCTGAACATGCTCAGCGCCTTTGATTTTTACTTCGGTTTAGTGATATTGGCACTTTATAAATTATTATTATTATTATTATTATTATTATTATTATTATTATTATGAAGTTATAATGTTTATTGTATAGTTTGCAAGCAAGAAGCAAATTAAGTAATGAATGAATTAATAATAATTTCTAATACATGATGAAATATTGATTTTGAAATCTTGCACATGGCAAAATTTTTCTGAAATTGACCTTTAAAATTGGATGTTTCAAAATGATTATCTTTAATCTCTTGGCCAATTCTCAATTATTGTGACACTGTTGCTAAGCCACTTTGCTGATGCAGACTTATACTAGTCGCTGAATCTCTGCCAAAGCCACTTCCTGCCAGACTCGTCCCTCTGCTGCCTGACACATCCCTCTGTTCCTGCATAATTCAAATCTTGGCCTTGGTGATTCTTTGTTGAAATACAAAACAATGCTTTTTACAATGCCCTAATCAATATAATGTATGCCAATATTCTTGTTTAATAACTTGACAAACCCTAATGTGATTTTGGGTGGTAGAACCCTCTGTCATTGCCAATTCGTGGTCAATGAATACCAATACCCTGGTCTATACATGAACGTTTACCCTCGTCAGTGTATACCTATGCCCTGATCTATACCTGAACATTACCCTGGTCAGTGTATACCAATACCCTGGTCAATACCTGGCCAAGACCCTGGTAAATGTATACCAATACCCTGGTCTATTCAAATGAATTGCCAACACAGAAAGCTACTAGATAACACCCGTCCTAGAAAGTTCACTAAAAACTCACAATAATCTGGTATATACTTGTACAGTTATTCTAGTGAATTGCCAAAATAGAAAGCATGGATGAGTTAAAAGTAACCACAAAAAAAAAAAAAAAATAACATGTCAAGCAGTAAACACACAAGCCTATTATAGCATTTAATACAGAATCATTTAATTTTGTTTTTCGTGTCGTACACTAAAGTTGAAGCAAATAATGGTTTGTAATTTTTCTCCTTTAATTTCTCAGGTATCCAATGGCGATGGGAAACCTGGGTGACTTGGAGAGCATTTCCCCCAGCCCGGGGAGACCTTCCTGCGAAGAGATTTTTGAAGCCGCCATCAATTCAGCCCAACGGTATTACAATGATCATCATGTGTATCCTTACACATACCTAGGGGGACATCTCTACCGGCATCAGAGATACAAAGATGCCCTTAAACGCTGGGCTCAGGCTTCCAGTGTTGTTAGCAAGTATGGCAATCTTTTTAACTTCTTGTTACCAGTAATAATAAGTTCAACACGTTGGTCCCCCTTTTTTACTTGATAATTAACTCAGTTTACTTCCTCTGTTTTCAGCTACAACTATTACCGAGAAGATGAGGAGATTTACAAGGAGTTTCTGGACATCGCTTTTGAATTGATCCCAAACATCGTCAAAGAATTCTCACACTCGGTAACACAAAACTCGCCCCTTTGTGATCCTGAGTGTTATGCATATTTCTTGCAGTTTTTTGATGGACTTTGCAAGTGGGAAGAGGGCAGTGTCACCCCTGTGCTACACATCACCTGGTCGAAAAAATTTATTGGGGTTGTTTCAAAGTTTGCTTCGGGTGTGCGGGAGCTCATTGATATTCATGTTGAGAATGAACAGGATTTTGAAGACGATGAGGAAGAAGAGGAGGATGACGACGAGCACCAGAAGGAGAATGTAGTTAAACCAAAGATGAGCAAAGATGAAAAGATGACGAGCGAATCGCATACCAAAACTAAAATTTCCCTCCGATCGAAGAACTATAGCATTACAAGGAAGAAACTCCGTGAGGATATTAACCAAAATATAATCGCGGAGAAGAGTAACGGAAATGTTAAAACAGACAACCTTGACAGTTCGTCAGATAGTATCGGAAGTGAATTAAAGGGTGGACAACCGTTGGATGTTTCAAACCCGAATATTGCCGCCTTAGCTGCGGCATGCAGTGAATCAATTCTCAATCCCGATTACCTTCTTGGTGCCTCGGAGACATCCACCCCTTTTACTTCAAAATCATGGGATACAAAAACAGATCTTAATGATTTTTTAAGCGGAAGTAACAACGGTGGAGCCTTCCCAGGCATTACGATGGAATCGGCATTGAAAGCTGAAAGTCCGGCCGAGATGGCGTTTCATCGACAGTGGAAAGCCAGGCAGTCAGACTCTCAGGGGGAGGATTCAGAAGATGAAGCTTCACACTACACCACAAATCCTGTGCCAGCATCGCAGATGATGTCACCGAAACTGACCCTTTCCAGTGCGAAGATGAAAGGGTTAAAGGAACTGCTAACAAATTCTGGCAAGCTCAACACTGCGGCAATCCAGCTACAACTGACAGCGCAGTCCCAGGTTCAGTTCAACAAACGCCCTCGTTCTACCAGTGAGTACGAGGACTACGGAAGTCTGCGGAGAAGACCACGGAGGGAATAATGTGGAACTTAAATAAAGTAAGTTTGGTGTATTGAAACAACTGTTGTCAGAAATACTTTTTTTTTTTACTTCTGCCTAGTTTTAAAAAAGAAAGCTCGTAGCAAATGCATACCTGCAGAGGCTAGGTAGCCATATACCGTAGCTCCCCAGGTATAGTCCCACCTCGGGTATAATCCCCTGACTTAGGTCCAACCAAGCATTAAAATTTGGGTAAGTAGGTTGGTGAATTTTACAAATGCTCAGCAAAAATAAAAGTATTAGCTCCAAATTCGGCGGACACTTCCAGTTGATTAGACCAGATATTGCCCGCCGTAAAGTTCAATACAAAGTGTGGGCCAGTTGGATCGCTCTCGCTGCTAAAAATAACTTGTTACAATCATGCATTACAAGTAGGCGGTCTTTCACATTTCGATGGGTGATTGGGTTGGATAGCAATCTCTGTAAACTATTGTTGGCAAATTGTTTGATTTTTCTCTTTGATGGGGCCCAACAGGATTTGGTATTTTGTTGAAATGATAATCTAGGCCTAGGCTGCAGTGGGCCCTGCAGGGAGTTTTAAGTAAAATTGGCAGTACTGTAGTGTGTTTTTTTTCCCTAAATCTAGTACGGTACAGCATTTGGGCTAATATCAGTAGGCGTCACTGACTAGGCCGTTTCCTACTTTACAGTAGGTAAGGGCTGGCCTAGCGCGAGCTAAGACTAAGATATGATCTAGGCGCCTAGGAATACTAACAACAGTTAGGGTGTTCCCTCCCCATTTATGCTCGAGTAATTAGTCTGATTTCTTCACTGGAATATAGTTGTGGATAGGCCATTGAACCGTAGTGCAATGATTGTTTAAATGCACCTGCCGCTTCACAAAATAATCGTCATTTTTAGTTCATGCACAGGGAAATCTCAGGTATAATGCCACCACCAAAATTGGGCCTGCCACCACCAAAATATGGGCCAATTTCACGTACATGGAGGGTGGAATTATACCAGGGGAAGTACCGTAGAACTATGGCTAATATTTTTCGAAAGAGACTCCTATACAAATTAATTTTAGCATTCAGATGGAGGTTATTCATGTTTATTCAAGCCTACTTGTAGTGAATCTATTTAGGTGACAAAGGGGGTCACCTAAAGCCACCTGTCATGTTCCTATCACAGTGGGGTTATAGTTGTAACATAGGCATGTGAGTTTCTAGGTCTGGCATAGGCATGCGGATGCCTAGGTCTGGCATAGATAGGCCCAGACCATCATTCGCACTTTTTTTAAAATATAAAATGTATTATGTTAATTTGTTCAATTATTCATTATGTTTTCTGTACAGATAAGTTTAATTCTATCAAATATGATACACACACCTCACAAAAATGTTCGTTTTTTTTTTTGTCAGGTACAATGAATAAAAAGGCGAGAAATTATGAACCAAAGACAAATTGTTGTGAGTAGTAAATTATAATTTGAGAATCTGATCGATTGATGTGAAAAAATAAGGTCAGTGTCATCTCCTATGATAGTTGGTGATCAGATGACCTTAGTACATTTTTACCAATAATTCTATTTGATGCAAGTTTTTTGACAAGGAAGGATGTTTGATATGTATTATTAAATGTTTTATTTTATGAAGAAAAACAAGAAAACTGCTTGTACATATTGAACGTAGCTAATGAGGGTTTTTACCATTACTGTAAGTTTGGCCAAAAAAGACATGTTTTTCTGACAAAGTAATTAAGAAATTGATTTTAAGAGGATTGTAAAAATAAACTGGAATTATTCTGTGAATCTAGTACTGACAAGTAACAATATCCACTATTTGTGCATATGAAAAAGTTTTCAAGATATATGTCTGTTGTGCTACAGTAATACACTTGAAAAATTAAAATCATATTTGAATTGCATAATTAAGTACATTATTTGCTTACAATTGGAAATTAGAGCAAGAATATGTATTCCTTGTCAAAACTGACTCATTGATACAGTAAGTACATTGTATAAATTTTAACTTGGCTGGTAATCAATATTGAAAATGTTCCTGGTAAAATGTCTGTAATTCAACAAAAAAAAAACTGAATGTTTTGAGATTTGTGTCTTATTGTCAGTTGATAACTTACCGTATTTGACTTTTGTAGAAATAAGCAATTCATTGTTTAAATAGGGTTTTTTTTTAGAGAGAGAGGTTTTCTCAACTTAGAACAGAGAGTATATCAGAAACGAAATGAATACACACGTGTGTTTTGAGTTTGAAACAGTTGCACATGCCAACACGTGAGTATGTGCTTGAATGTGTTATAATGTATGTGAATTATGATGTTCAACATTATGCGTTCACCTTCATTTCCTGTCCTGAAATGACAACCATGACACGCAGCATCCGGCGGAAAGAAGATTATTACCGCAGATGCCAGAAACTGAGTGATGTTAACAGATGTCAGATGTCAGATATATATACTACTAAACCCAGCCTGCTGATGATATTTGATGGAATTTTATCTTTATTACCTTGAAATTTTTTTTTATTCCCTGATTAATCAAATTTTTCATAACATTTTATGAGAAATAAGAAGTGAACGATAACTTTGTTTTGCTACATTGGTTTTGTTTTGAGGGTGCCACACTGAAACCTTTATTTTAATATGACCTTTGATTTTTCATAATAAAAACAAACAACTCTATCCAGGGAGGGTGGGAATTAAATTTGAAGTTCGAGTAATATAAAAAATCACATTTGAAAAGTGAAATACTGTACTGTTATATTAAATATAGCTGAATTTGAATATATATAAATGTTTCGAAAAATCATTTTAAACAATATTTTGTGTGTATATAAGATTATTTAAGTCACTAAATGCTAGAAAATAATATGCCTTAAACAAATAGAACCATCCAATTTTTTTAAAAAGTTTTGTTGGTACTGTAAAAAATTGATTTAACATTTAATATGCAAAATCATAATTTAATGTTTGCATAAATATATCACTATAATAACCAAATTTGATATTAAGAAATTATCACTTATTAGTTTTTTATTTACATTGTTGTGTTTGGTATAATTATACAAAATATCAAATTATCAACTTTCATCCAAAAAATATAGCAGTTAATTGGATATTGAAATACAGATTTATGTAATTTAATTAGTATTCCTCTATTGTTTCATATGTTTGATTTATTGATACTTAAGCTGACATAGGTTGTTTTCTGCATTCAATTAAAGATACAAAACTTTACATAAGTATGGTAGAATGTAAGAAATATCAAATATTTTCCTTTCCCTACCCCAATTTCCCTTCCTCAATTTTTTCTCTTCAGCCATTTTAGCAGCTTGTTTTTTTTTTTAAGTTATAATACCAAGTAGTGATGTAGATTTACTGTCAACCTGCAATGGTCCTATGAATCGTCAATGAAAGCCTTGTTTCTCTCTGGTTTTAATGAAACAATTGATACCGTAGACATGTCACATCCACGCACATCTAACAACGCACATAAACACGTCACGCAAACACGACGTAACAAACACACAGGGTGACCAAGACAGCGACAATACCAAAAAATCATCAAAACATACTTCAAATCCTTTAATATCATTATTGATAATTAAGCCTAATATAAAATATTAATAATTTCTGATGATTATTTTAAGTTTTGATACTAAAAATACTTGGACTAATTGATGTGACTTATTGGGACATACACTCTTAACTGTTTTTATATCTGTATTGTGACAAAGAATTAGTACATTCCAAACAGATTAGGTAAAAGTTCATTACTTCACCATTCCTACATTCAACCTGACCTAACTTTTTCACCCTTGCATAGGTTAGACTATAGAGGGTGCAATTCATGTTTTATTTTAATTTTATCTATTTTTGTCTATATTCTTTAGAGGACTTGATACGTTAATATTATCAATTCCTCTTGCATGAAATGCAACTTTCGCAGCTAGTGTATGGTAGTAAAAAATTTATTTTTGTTTTACAATTAATTTTGGTAGATTAGATTTGTAAACTGTTGTAAAATATTCTATATATTTGTGCATGATAAATATTACTTGCATTTTAATATTATGAGAATCTCCAATTTATTTTACCATATCTGGTAATGAAATAGTGTGTTTTGTAAGTGTGTGCTTAATTTGACCCCTAGGTCACTCAAAATATTCCCCCCCCCCCTAGGTTTCTTATATATTTTGCTTTAATGTTTGCTTCCTTTGCAATATTTTCCTTTAAAAACTTCTAATTAAAGTTTTATTTCAAATTTTATTTATTCGTGATTATGATTTTAAAGATTTTTGTGTGTAAATTTCATTTAATGGTATGAAAACTGTAGTTTAATTATTTCAAAATAATGATATTTAAATAAGGAGTAATTTGATTTCTAAAACATTTCAATACATATCAATTTTTACCATGAATTGAGTTGTGTAGCATCATCTTTAGGTGTTGTTGTTGGTCAGGTATATATATTTCAATACTACCTACCAATGTTTTTACCAAAAAAAAATGTTTGTAAAACAAAAAGCTAAAGGTCCTCTATCAGTTCAGTTTGAAATTTAAAACATCTTGCCTTCAAAATTCTGATATGCAAACATTCTATTAAAGATATACTGCCTCATAGCTCTAAAAACATGAAAATAAAAAATACACAAAAAAATAAAAAATAAATAAGCTTGCTTTGTCTATTTTAATACATTATTGGCATTTAACTTTAAATTAGAGGAATAAAAGCTTGTTCATTTAACAGCCTTTAAATAATGTCATTCCTATACTGTATATAATATAATCTTATATAACTCTTAAATTTCTGTCAGCATATTTACATTATTTCATATTAAATCATCTTTAAATCATTGAAAACAGATTTTTTTTTCTGTGACTTAATCAAAAGTTCATTTTTCCTTTAAAATAATCATTTTAGATTTTATTAAATTTATTGCAAGTGTTATCTTTTCTATATTTTTCTAGCAGTATATCTGTAAACACATAAACAATGTCATGTAATTACAGACACAGATAATGTTATTGTCATAAAAATACAACATACAATTATGAAATGTTTCTTTCTTATTTCGAAACAAGTCCAGTACAAAAATAAATATAAATATATTAAATAGCATATATCACAAAAGCAATTCTAACTACTGTACATACACTTACAACAAACATTATCTTAATTTCTTAATAAATTCAATAATTGCTGAAGGCAGGAAAAAATTTCTAAATTTAACAGTTTTAATTTAATTACTGAACTGTTGATGGACTTTATTTGCAGTTTTTTTGTTTAGCCAAATAATATAATTTAACCATACTTTGCAATAATTAAATCTGTGTAATGAAATATATTTAAAACCTTACCAATGAATTACTGTAATTTCTTTTCCTCTATTGTTAAAAAATCAACATGAATATTGATTATATTTGCATAATAATTTGCATTGTTAATCAGTACATGTATGTAAATAAGAGTTCAACAAAACAGCAATGCATTATGGGTCACTGATACTTGTATTTTATGAAATATAACTGCTGATGTAAATATCATTTACATTTGTGATACTTTTTAATCATTATAACTCTTATGTTTGCTTTGTATTATTATAATTATTTTGTATTTTATTCTCTAGAAATGTTTTATATGATTGTTATTAAATCCGGTGATTTTTGTCTGCTAATATGGCTCTGGATACTTTCTGATAAATGATTTAATATTCTTCTAATAATCATTCTTATATTTATTTTATTTATTCCATTTTAGTATCTATTGTTGTTCCTATTAAAGATATACTGTCAGTGATGAAACTTGTAACTAAATATTAAGTACAGTATTCTTTCTATTGTTCTATAAGCTGGGGCCTATTCAGTACAGGGTACTGTATTGACAGTACTGTGTTTGATTTGCTTCGTGTATTTAAGTAAAACTCTGTCCACACTCTGTCAAATTTTATATGACAATTTTGTTTGATGTGCCCATATATGGGCATGATGATGTTATACTATATCCAAATATGGGCATCAAACAGTTATAATCAGAATAATTAATTAGAATTGTTTTTGTTGCAAACCATTTCTGTATCCTTTTGAAGGTGTGTAGTAAAAGTCTGTAAATTTTCAAAAACTGGATCCTTTCATACTGTGTCTCATCTAAAGCTCTGTCCAGACTATCAAATTTTGTTTGACAAAAACTGTTGTATGCCCATATATAGTCATGATGTGCCTATATATGGTCATTATGTGATGTCATCATGACCATATTAAGGCATGTCACATGTTTTTGTCAAATATAATTTGTTTTTGTTTTTTAAAGAGTTTATGACAGAGTATACCTTTAATAACCATTCTGAGTTTATATTTTCAAATTTTTCCCAACACTTGTTTGGTAATTGACAGTTTGTAGAAATGTTCGTTACACAAATTAGTACCATTTTATTATTGAAGAATTTTGTGTACATATAGAAGAGAATCCATTTTATTAAGTGTTGGATTCAATTGTTGTGTTTGCCTACCAAATGGAGAGATCTTCCAGATACATAATCATATTTTTGAAGAGAGTTCGTTTACGATGGAAACTATATTTTGGTGCTGAGTATAGAAAGTATAAATTGTTTGTATAAGAAAAGACTTGGGGGTATTCATAGTGTTTGTGTAAGCTTTTATTTGCATTACTCAGAGAGGTTTTGTTAATGATGGCACAGTGTATATACATTTGTATATTATACGCATTATGATATTATTGTATTTAAGGCACAAGTTTTAATGTAAATATGTTATTGTTCAGAGATTGTGCATACAAACAATGGTTTTAGATTCAATTATTAAACTAGTATGAATGTTCTGAGCAGTAAATGTAAGTTAAAACAACCACCTACTAGTTGTATTAGTAAGTCATCTATTATGACCCTTGTTTTGTAAGCCATGGTATCCTGTATTTAACGCCTTCCTACTTTTTATTTTAGTTTCGTATTTGCCACTGACCAGCTCATTCTCCCTTTGGTCCACTTCGTCCTGTTTTTTTTTTTTTTTTTTTTGTCTCTCCCCTATTTCATTCCATAAAACCAATTTTCTGTGCGATTCTTGTAGAGTGGAGTCATTCTGGTTACCAGAAAAAAAACTAACTTGAAATTTGTTGCTTGGATCAATCCAAAAACCTTAGCATTTGAGAGCCCTTTGTACCCTTATTCTTATCTATTATATACACAATTTTTTTGCATATTTGCAAACATATTTGTTTTATTCAAAATACATGTACTGTATTATTTTCTAGGCATGACAGCTTTTAAAAAAGACAGGGTTTTCAAGAGACATTTAGAGCAGATAGAGATTTGCGCCATATAGCAATGAAAGAACATTTTATCATTTTCTGATACAAAAAAAAAACAAAAAACAAGTTAAGTAAATATCATTTCTCGAATGGCCATAAAACACCCGATATTTAACTTAGCTACATTTCCTATTGTTTTTAATATTTCAACATGTGTGCATTTAAGCACCATTAGCTTTAAGTGATCCTAACAAAATATAAACTTAATAATATCGACTTTCACGCACATTTTTCCTCATGCTTAAGTCTGTAGCTATTAACCAATGGCGTATCTAGGGTGGGGGTGTACTCCCTCCCATCTCCCCCCTTGTAAATGTTGAAAGCAAAAATATCACGCTCAAGTATGGTAGTTAAAAATCACCTCAAATCAACTTATTTTTACGAGCTAGGCCCCCTCCCCCCTCAACTAATTATCGTGGCCCAATTCTCACCAAACTCCCGCCCCCCCCTCCCCCATTTTTCCATATCAACACTCCTAGATACGGCACTGTATCAACAGATTACAAAGTCTGTGTATTAAAAAATAGGTCTACAAAGTATTTATCCAGTATATGTACCGGTGTATAAAGTTTAAAGATTGAGTATTGATTGTTAGTTTAATCTTGGTTATCGCCGACTTTATTAATCCCCTCTTCTTTCACTTGCCTTTGCTTTTCTGTTAGTCGTTGGGCATGCCTTTATGTTTATATATTATTATTTATGAATGTTTTCGAAGAATTTACAAGAGTCAGACTCGCATTGTTGCGTTTCCAAGAGCTGATTATTTTTAACCGATTCTTGATTGTCATATTGTGAAACTTACAATATCCCCTCAACGTAGTTAACGTTTTATCTTGTTTACACCATGGTTATAGCTCCATGTTTTACACCAAATGTTGTTATTACTTTTTGCCTTTACCTAATAATGAAAACATTCCATTTGCGTTTTCTGTGAAATATGTTATTTTAGCCTTGCAATTGTTCTTTAGTTGGTTCTATATCTTGCATTTGCATGTCCGTTAATATTGGGTGTCATCAATTATTACATCGTGATACTAATGGCTTTCTGCGCGTGTGTATAGCTTTCAAGAAGAAAAAAAAGTATTCTGTGCATGAAAATGTGACATCATCAGCTGGAGATGGCGCATTCGTATTTTATCGCTTCAACGCATAATTCCGCACCAAATTGACGTTTATATCGCTTCATCGATAGATTGACTAAATTGAATTTACTCCCGTATGCTAGTGTTATGGGAAATTGATACGTTCGTTTCTGACATAATTTATTGTAAATAGAAATTCATGAAAATTTTATTTCACCTTTTTAAAACTTTAATTTCAAAGATTACCAAAGAGAAAACGCCTGATCGCGTTAAGGCTGTATTAATTACGGGAATAATGTTCAGTGTAGACGTTTGAATTGTAGAATGATACTTACATGGTAAGAGATGACGATTAGTTCATTTATTCTTTTAGTGTTTGCAATTTTGTTTACAGAAAGAAAAAAAATCTTCGCAAATTCTTTTAACATCCCATCAAATGAGTCGGTAGTATACTAAACGCAGTATAAAACCAATCGATAACAAGAGATGTCGTGTGTAGAATTAAGCTATTTTCCCGGTCTTTTTGCAAGTTACGCACGTAATTGTCATTGCGCATGTCGGCAAATTTAGTGACACTGATAGTAAATTGATGGCACAGCTCAATGGACATTCAGAATATATTGTATTAAATAACGTTTATCCTTGATTTTAGTACACTCATATATATTGGGTTTACTCCCCCCGTCTATACTGCACACAACATCCAGGCTTTAACACTTTCATGTTTATAGTGATAGGACTCACCTTTATAAGAAAATCATTTCATTACCACGAAAATAGAGGCTTAAGTATATTTTCCCAAGAGTGGCGTATTGACATCAACGTTTGGATTAGCCTTCAGATACATATCAAACATGCCGAATTCTACGTCCTATGATTTGCTGTGATAGAGCGCGTATACTGGACGCGATGTGAATACGTGACTGTCATATACAGTCTTTAATTATACATTCCTTGTCGTGTATAAATCTTTTTCACGTCACCTACCGTTGCAGTAAACGCAATGCGTTCCCTAATCGGCATTTCTTTGAACATATAATACGTATCGTACAAATTTGAGTTTGTGAAGATTATTATTTTTATCATTATGTTCTAGTAGAAACAGAAATAAAGTGCTTATTGCAAATTATGTATGCAGTCTATATTGTGTTAATTGTATGCGTGTGTGGTGGGAGTAGGGATGTGACATGCCCTGTGTTCGCAGACTATAAATGCTTTTTTTTAAACTGTATTGTTTTGTATAGAAAGTTGAATATTTTACATTTATAATCCTACTCTCTTAGCCACGCCTAAGCATCGCTAGGCGTTGAATTCAATAAACTCATAATCCCTTTGTAATATCAAGGCGATATATACAGTACTGTACCTCCATATTATCTGAAATACACTGGAATATCCAACAAGGAGGTATCGAACTACAGTATTAGAGACGCGTAGTGGTACGTCCTATAAATACAGCAATAATTGTAAATATAAACAATTATACATTATTAAACTATATCTCTTTATTTTATATTTATATACAATATATATATTAACGTAAATCAGTACAAGTTCAGTTCTAAGACACGCATTACATCGATTCGAATCTTTGTCACGTGATCCATTAGTGACATATCACTCAATAAAGATATGCCTATTACTGTACGTACAATATACAGCATCACATCTCGTAAAATACTATAAACGTTGAAGCTTCGTCTAAAGTTAGCCGCCATATTGTAGGCGCTTATCAAGGTGAAATCATAATTGCATATATATTGAAAATGGAATCTGATCGCCCTTCATTGCTTAAAGAACCTTGTAATCCAATAGAGGGCGGTATCATTTTATTTAGAAAGGCGAAATGATTAGTTACCGTAGAAAATAGCAATTATGAACACTATGTTCTTCATTAAGTTCCAATAAGACCTATATTCATTATTAGATTAATGGGCTGTCCCGCTAAATCCCGAACCTTGTACCCCCCTTGGACATTAGTGCCGAGGTTTTCCCACGCTATCTCCCTTTGTGGGAACCATTGGAACAATATCCAAAAGGTGGGCTTAGGTACGGTGACCAACGTTTCATCTTCCGCATATCAGATGATATATGCTAAAGATGCTGACATTTCATTTATGAAAAATCATTCAATGCTTGCTCAGTATATCATACACATGAGACTTGGATCAAAGAACATAATAACGATGTTTCGTACTTGATATACACCTTAATGAATTCTATAAACTCAGAAGTCGGATAAATGACGAGGCGCCAACGTTATTTAACTTTGCATCGCAAATGAATTAGCCCTCGTTACCAAAACACACCAACCTAAAGTCCCAATCAGGTATTTCTTATATGAAAAATACGTCGGTATCCAACATCCGTACGTAGTGTTTTGGTGAATTCAGGCCGATACCTAAAGTGGTGGCGGGGAAAGGGGACGACGTCCCTGCCCAGGAGGCTGGATTTACTATGAAATTTGAGGAGCTGAATACACGGAAGACCAATCCCTGTGACGTGACACCGATGTTAGCTGCTAAATACGAGTGCGCTTGAGGGACTCGCCAAATCCAAGAAATAGTTATTGTACGACGTAGCATAATCGATAATTCACGACTTCGTTAGGCCCACGTATCTCAGTGATTAAGCATATTATTTCATACAAATTGCAACAATACAGCTGGTTGCAATGACTATGAAATGATTAATGATATTTATATTGTGTGTGTGTGTGTGTGTGCGTTACGTTCATAATTTAACAGTTGAGTGTCGATGTGAACATCCGCCGTTGTCATAACATATCGTGATAAGACTAACTAATGGTACAGTTTTGAAAGACTGTGGTTTATAATTCCCATGATATATTGTATTTGTGATCAGCTGAAACAAAATATTCTATTCAATAGCATATTCATTAAATTTTCCCTTAGCACACATAATCCTATTTCATTATCTTTTCTTATTCGCAGTGGTAGATCAAGATTCTTTCGCGAAGTGGGGGTGGGGGAATGGCAATAGAGGATCTATGATCCGAAGCGAGTGGAAACTATGTGCGAAAAGCAACGGTTTTGGAGTTTCTTACTTATTGTGGGATTTCAAGAGGGCTTTGGAATCTTTTAGAAATTTAAAATCTCTTGGGCCTATCTTAATGATTTCACATTGGTTAGTGATGTTTTGTTTGCTGCTAGGAGGTGGGAGGAGAGTCAGGAGGAACACCCATTTTGCCACCTGGATCCGCCACTGCTTCATTATCTTTATCAATTTTTTACAATTTCTCCATCCATCACTTAGGCTATACAATATTTTGTTCTGCTAATCCTTAGTTACCAGTTCTTCTGATCTTGTCATATGTTGTTTGAAACTCATCCACATTAATGCGTAGTTAATCGTCTTCGGAGTCGACACCTCCAAGTTCCTCTGATTTTGTCATAAAATGTTGTTTGAAAGGCATATTAAAATCAGGGAAGTCAACGCTGTCTCCAAAGCGCATACGTCGCTGCTCTTTCTTGATGATCAATTCCCGTGTATTGGCCTGATGATTCCAGACTTTAAGGGGGATGTATGTTATGTCCTCAACATGTTCAATACCCCCAGCCATAGCAGATGCTGCCCGTAGTACGGAGCCTTTTCGCTCTCTTGGACTGTGGTTGGGTGACTGGTCTGGAAGCTGTAATAACAATAATAACATACATTTTTGAAAGATAACAATAAACTTTATTGCCAGCTTGTGTATAGATGATGCATCGCGACCATGTCTCCCTTACACCGTATCGTACTGACGATATCAGGGAGGATCCAGAGATGTTCGAAAAGGGGTGGGTTGGGTGGGGGGAGAAACAACACTACGCTAGCGGGGTTTAGGGGGCTGCCCTCCGGGGAATTTTTGTTCTCTAGACGCCAGGAAATAACCTCTGAGGAGTTTTGGGCAATCATTAATTTCTTTTTCTTTCCTGTTTTTTTTTTTACTCTCCATAAAGGTGTGGGGGTGCACCCCTCAATCCGCCCCTGAATATATTGTCATTTGAAAATATTTAAGGCCTACATAAAAATGGCATGCTTTATATTTGCCTTACCGCCTGCTGTGCAGTCAACCCTCCTTGAGGTAAAGGTGGTACCGAGCTGGAGCGTGGCTGTCCCTTTTTCCCGCCTTTAGCACTCTTCTTGCCTTTCTTCTTCTTCCCGCCATCTTTTGGTTTTGGAAGGCTGTCAAACTTCTCTTGGACAATTTGTAGAACTCTTGGATCAGCCCACCATTTTGCAATATCAAGTGCCGTATCGCCTGATAAAATAAGATCAATAATTATCGCATGGCATTTATTTGAATAGTGATAATACCATGATGATCCGGTTTTGGGCTGCTCAAAGCCTTAAAAAACGGAGATACCAGACACCGAAGATATACGTGAGTGTGGTACTGAACATGCCCTCTTCTACTGGGGCAACAATGCAAAGTTGACGACGTTGCAGTAGGCCTATATAATGATAGAGCTAATGATTGTGTTAAGTTTTGGCTGAAAGATGTGTGTGCGCACATAAGAAAAAATAAATAAATAAATATTAAATAAATCGTACCTTTTCTGTTCTCTATCTCCACGTTGCATCCTTTATCGATGAGGTACTTGGTTATCTCAGGATTTGATATTTGAATAGCCCTCATGAGTGCTGTTCCCCCGTTCATCGCCCTTGCGTTTATATCAGCCCCTTTTTCCAGCATCATTTCTACTATATCTAACTGGCCCGATAGTACCGCGTGGTGCAGTGGTGTCCATTTGAAGTTATCACATGCGTTCACATTGGCACTGTGTTGATAGATTATAAATAGGTCTAAGTTAAACATGTATTCATATGTTCATCTTCTAAACAAGTTACCCACGCGTGGTTTGATGGTGTTATGAAAGTATAACAGGGGTGGATCCAGAATTTTTCAAACGGGGGCACAACATATTCAGATTAGATAAGTGAGAGCGCGCTTATTTCAATATATGCCTTGAAATTTTAAAATTTAGTGGCAAAACGGGTAGGGTAACGTGCCCCCTACTGGATCCGCCCCTGTATAACATACAGAGGATTTGTCATGAAAATAATATTTGGATATGATCGTGATCATAATTTTAAATCGTCCTGAATTATATTCGATTTTTATATATTCAATTATGTACCACGCACATCAATAATCGTATCGATTTCTTTTTCACTTAAAGAATAGAATCTAATTCAGTGTGTTGTCTGTCAAATAAAACGTTTAATTCAAACATTACTCATTTGCGTAGAGTATCGTCATCATACAGTGTGTAAAATAGAAAATCATTGTTGTTGGCTTAATCGATGTTTCATTGATCATATGCAACTGTCCTCTTAATCAATACGTCCGGTTGGCTAGTCTTCTCCTGCTAGCTTATACTGAGAGATTTGAGTTTAGAGAAGGAACGTGCGATTTGTATTTTCGTCAACAAATGCGAGCAATACATCTTTTGAATTATTCAATCTATTATATAACTTAAATTGCGGGATGGTCAAAAGAACAATGAAAAAAAAAAACAAAAACAAAAACAAAAAAACACCGCTTATACTTACCCTCTGTCTACTAGAAACTGCGCCATCGCGTGATTTCCCTGTGCGCATGCTACCATCAGTGGCGTTTTGTAGTATTTATCTCTGGTGTCGATGGCCCTGCCTTTATTATACGCGATTTTCAGACTTTCAAAGTCGCTTACTTTAGCTGCTTCATTTATGTTAATATAGGTTCGATCCGGTGTGTGTAAATACCAAGCTGAATCATCTTGAATAGGGTGATCGGGCGGGATGTCCCTTGTAAACCTCCCTGTATCAGTAAATGGGACGTGCCGGGAGATAAGATGTTCGGGCGGTTCTCCAAATTCAGTTCTTTTGCCCATCGGACCAATGCATATTGGCATGGGGACTTTGGTTTTTCCTTTCTTTTTCTTTCCTTTCTTCCCCTTCTTGCCTTTCTTCTCCTTTTTTTCAAATGATGACATTAAATAAGTTTTATGTACATATTTCTTCCCGGTTAGAAACTCGGAGAAATTTATAACACCTTCTTTATTTTTATCGTGCGCTAAGTAGACAGTTTTAAAGTTCTCTTCATCAACGGGTGCGTCTAAGTTAGTAAGAACCTCGAGAAATTCCTCCCTTGATATTCGTTCCGTTCCTTCCTTGTCAACGTCTTCAAACCTCTCGCGAAGAATGTTCTGCCGTTCGACGCACCAGTCGTATAAACTCACAGCCCAAGGCTCTGTAGGAGGTTTCCCACCCCCTCCTATTTTCTTAGATAGTTTTTCAGCCTTACGGCACTCTTTCATTGCTTCTTTTGAATCACTGTTTTTGGCCAAAGCCTTTGGTAACAGGCCATCATCGTTCTTCGTATTTGCGCGGCAACCTTTTCATCAAAGAGAACAAGAATAAAGTCAGAAACCTCCTGTACATTAAATGTCGGTGCAAATAGGGAGTTATAACAAATGGATCCAGGAGGTTTGCCGCGGAAGGGGTTGGGGGAGAGTAGAAATGGAGGACCTGGTCCGAGGGAAGCCGAAAATAAAATGGTCCGTAATGAAGGTTTGTGATGTTCCCTTTGTATTGTGGGGTTCAGGGGAGCTATTCCCATTAGAGGTTTTAACCCATTTTAATGTCCTTATCTAAATGGTTTCACTTGGTAGTGATTTTTTGGCTTCTGCATGTGCAGAGGTGGAGATCGAGCACCCTTTTCGCAACCTCCTGGATCAGCCACTGAAATTTAAAGCATTTAATAATGTTAAAAATAAAAATAAAGATTATTTAACATATCTTACCACGTTGACTTAAGAACTTGCAACAATTTGCAAAGCCTCCCTCAGCAGCTAAATGTATAGGAGTATTCCCGATGACGTCAACGCCACCTAGATCTGCATTGAATGCAGACAAAAGTTTGAGGACTTCAAAATGGCCTTTCTTAGCTGCCAAGTGGGTGGCTGTACGCTTGTCTTTGTCGACTGCATTCACCTGAGCTCCCTTTAGAAGCATCTGTCGTATCACAGGAATGCTGCCACTCGATGCTGCGGCCATCAGAGCAGTACGACCAGAATTCTACAAAATAGGAATTAATGGTGAATTAATGGTAGACCTAGGTTCCTCGAGCAACATGGTCACTGGCCACCAAGAAAAATAAGTGGCCCGGGATCGGGACACCCATATCAACTGATGCCCTTTGATGTAGCATATGGCCCCATTTTGAAGCCCTCAAAGGGTGATGTCCGAATTCCCAAAAGCCTCAGTTTACCTGACCCATATCTCCGGAAAACTTTCTTCATATTGGCTTTGTTCGTACCGTTTGTTACAGGTCTAATCTTGATATATAAACCATTTATTATATTATATTAGGCTGCATTCATGTATATGTTTGTTTTGTTTTGTCTAATTGTTTCTGTGGCGTGTCTGGATAAAGAGTAGACCTATATTGACTTGGGGGTAGTGCGGGCGCGAAGTGGGTCACGAAGGGCTCTGATTAAGTGAGGCTTTAGCTGGCAAAATAAGGTGAAATGTGGTTAGTATAGTATACTTTATTTATTCACGAAACCTTATTCAGTAATAAAATACTGTTCTACCATAAGGTCATGATTAAAAATGACATGATAAAAAAGTTATAATTAACTACTTAAGCGTTAATAAGTTTTGCTTGGCAATTTTCTGGGGTTACACCATCAGTTTTTGTTGGAAAGTATAGGTTTTCTTAGACAATCGATATAGGCATATGCATAAAATGTGAATGACCAACAACTTGTCGTTACAATTAAATTATAACGAAAATAACGAAAATGCACATTAATCACAGGCTTCATGAAATTGAACATTCGCTGCAGACGACATTAAAAAGCGATCATTGTCACTCAGTTCAATAGTTTAGATCTTTTGTTTCATAGGAAATTCGTTTTTAATAGCACTCCTCGGTTAAAAGGACAGCTTTAAATAGGCCCAGCTGCAGGTCGTATTACATCGATGAAAACGCAGTACCACAATAGAACCTCACATTACAATTTGCAAGTGGGGAGGAGATATCTTCTCAAAAGCACGAACGATGGTGGTGGTTGGGTGACGGTAACGGACCGGAGTCGGCGGCAGTGGGGAGGCACAGCAGCTACCGATAATAATGAAGTAGAGCTACACCCTTTTAACGATCTTAACTGCGGGCACAGCGAACCTAACAAAATGGGACTAGCACTATCGTTAAACATTTTTAGCTTATATTTATTCTGTCATCCGGGCTGTGGAGCATTCGTCAGCACCGTAATGTCGCATCATGTGCAGTGGCGTATCTAGAAGTCTTGAAATGGGGGTTAATGGGGTGGGGGAGAGACTGTCTCTTATACACATCTAGATGAAGGTGGAGTTGGGGGGGGGGAGGCTCGATGATCAGTTGAGGGGCGCTAATTCGCGAAATAAGGTGATTTTAGGTGGTTTTTTACTACTTGACCGTGATTTTTTCGGGGTGCGAGTAATTTTTGGAGGGGTGTGCGCCCCCAACCCTAGTTACGCCACTGGTCATGTGAGATTGTCTACTGTTGATTTGACCATGTTTTAAGTGTTTTGATCATGCGCAACACGTAGGAAGTCGGTTGGCAACCAAGATACTGCTTAAATAAATTCATTGTTACGCTCTGTATACATTTGCTTCTGAATTATCAATATCGGTTTAATAGCTACCGTAGTCTTATGATCATGAGTATTGGGATGGTCGATATTTGTCCTAATATATTTACATACTATAGCTTTTCCTCAAAGTATGCTTATAGTGTATATAGGCCTAATGTATATATACAATTTATATACATATACATTTATAACTACGATAGTCCTATGCCTATATATACATTATGTATCCATATATTAATTTTATTATTCTTTATATTGTGTTCTGTAAGTTTGTTTTTGGATTTGAGCGATTGTGCCCACATGTTTCCGTGATAACTTTTA